TGCCTGACTTTTTAGAAGCAAAATCCATAATGTGATCAAACATGCCCTAGGTCAGTTGGCATAGAATGACATGTAAAAAAAAAGGAAAAAAGGAGAAAACAAAGAAACAACCAGAAAAAATGTCTTGCTGACTTTAAAGACACGGGTTTAAAGGCTTTGTCACTGGCTTCTTGTAGCTCCTGTGGTTGCAGAGGGAGCAAAGGATCATGGGAGCCTTGACATATTTCTCTGTGTTTGTGCTGTAAGTCTTACTGCTGATTACTATTCCTTTACAAAAGAAGGTTTGATGTATTCTGAAAAAATAAGATTATATAAGACTAACAAGTAAATATGACAATGATAGTCTCTTAATCTTTGTGGTAAGGAGTGTCTATATGAACCTGCTTTTTTGATTATGTTGTAACTCATGCTTCAAAACTTATCTGACAGGGCTGCTGTCTATCAGTGTGAAGGTGACTCTAATTTTAATGATTACAAAACCCTGCATCCCAACCACGTCAATTTGGCCTGGATGAAATGTGTTCCAGACAATAAGTCTCTCTCCTCTGTGTCCATCCCAGGAACACAGCAAAGCCTGAAGAGAGAAGGCTTGAATCCTTTCAATAATTTTCAGGCATGGGAACTTCTAAATCAGTTGTATGTAGGTGTGCGGTTCCTTGACATGACTCTTTCGACATCATTATTTGGCACACTGCACGTTGACAACAATGCTATAGTTTATCGTGAGGAATTCAGTCATGTGCTGAGCCAGTTACAGATTTTTCTCAATGATAAAAAGTCCGAGGCCGTGTTGTTGAGACTTTCTGGTGCTGGCAATGCAATCAATCTTGCCAAAGCAGAGTTAAATCGTGCCACTGCCATTGAAGTTTGGAAGAACAGAAAGATTCCAACAATGGGTGAGGCGAGGGGTAAAATAGTCCTGATTCAGAGCTCAGATTTTGATTGGGGGCTTCAGGTCAACGCCATGGTGTTGGGCAAAGATGAGAAAGAATACCAGATGAAGGAGAATATTAAAAAGGCTTCAGAATACTGCACACGTGAGATGATGCTTACTGACAATGGTGCCAAAGGTACATGGGAGATCCCACAAAATATTGCAGGAACACTAAACAAACAGCTTTATGAACATCTCTTGAGCCTTAATGCAAATAAGAAGCCATCTTGTTTAGGAATAATTGCCATGGATTTCCCAGGTCCAAAACTCATTCAACTAATAATCAACATTACTTGCCACTTAGGAACGGGCACGGACCGAAGTTCAGACACAGGCCTCAATGGACTTGTTGCCCTAAATGAAAGTACTGCAAGACCTGGACCTCCTCAATCTGGTCCTACGCCTGGAACACCACCAAAATCTGAGCCTGCACCTGCATTACCAACATCACAAAAACCTGAAACTGTTACTACACCAGCAACATCAAAAAAACCTGAACCTGTTACTACATCAGCAACATCACCAAAACCTGAACCTGTTACTACACTGGCAACATCACCAAAACCTGAAACTGTTACTACACCAGCAACATCACAAAAACCTGAACCTGTTACTACACAAGCAACAACACCAAAACCTGAACCTGTTACTACACCAGCAACAACACCAAAACCTGAACCTGTTACTACACTGGCAACATCACAAAAACCTGAACCTGTTACTACACCAGCAACATCACCAAAACCTGAACCTGTTACTACACAAGCAACATCACAAAAACCTGAACCTGTTACTACACCGGCAACAACACCAAAACCTGAACCTGTTACTACACCAGCAACATCACCAAAACCTGAACCTGTAACTACACCAGCAACATCACAAAAACCTGAACCTGTTACTACACAAGCAACATCACCAAAACCTGAACCTGTTACTACACCGGCAACAACACCAAAACCTGAACCTGTTACTACACCAGCAACATCACCAAAACCTGAACCTGTTACTACACCGGCAACAACACCAAAACCTGAACCTGTTACTACACCAGCAACATCACAAAAACCTGAACCTGTTACTACACCAGCAACATCACCAAAACCTGAACCTGTTACTACACCGGCAACAACACAAAAACCTGAACCTGTGACTACACCTGGAACAACACCAAAACCTGAACCTGTTACTACACCAGCAACAACACCAAAACCTGAGCCTGTTACTACACCAGCAACAACACCAAAACCTGAACCTGTTACTACACCAGCAACAACACCAAAACCTGAATCTGTTACTACACCAGCAGCATCACCGAAACCTGAACCTGTTACTACACCTGCAACATCACCAAAACCTGAACCTGTTACTACACCTGCAACATCACCAAAACCTGAACCTGTTACTACACCAGCAACAACACCAAAACCTGAACCTGTTACTACACCTGCAACATCACCAAAACCTGAACCTATTACTACACCAGCAACATCACAAAAACCTGAACCTGTTACTACACCTGCAACATCACCAAAACCTGAACCTGTTACTACACCTGGAACAACACAAAAACCTGAACCTGTGACTACACCTGGAACAACACCAAAACCTGAACCTGTTACTACACCAGCAACAACACCAAAACCTGAACCTGTTACTACACCAGTAACAACACCAAAACCTGAACCTGTTACTACACCAGCAACATCACCAAAACCTGAACTTGTTACTACACTTGCAACAACACCAAAACCTGAACCTGTTACTACACCAGCAACAACACCAAAACCTGAACCTGTTACTACACCAGCAACAACACCAAAACCTGAACCTGTTACTACACCAGCAACATCACCAAAACCTGAACCTGTTACTACACAAGCAACATCACAAAAACCTGAACCTGTTACTACACCGGCAACAACACCAAAACCTGAACCTGTTACTACACCGGCAACAACACCAAAACCTGAACCTGTTACTACACCAGCAACATCACCAAAACCTGAACCTGTGACTACACCTGGAACAACACCAAAACCTGAACCTGTCACTACACCTGGCACAACACCAAAACCTGAACCTGTTACTACACGGGCAACATCACCAAAATCCGAACCTGTCCGAAGGAGGAAGAAGATATGTCGCCGTGTTCATAGACGTAAACCCTCTCCCTTAGTTTCATAACTCACTGTATAGCTTTTAATAATTCTCTTTATTTGTTACATAACTGTATACCATTTATACTGTCCTTTGAAAATTTTACATGGCTAGTAATAATTTTTTAATAATGAATATTGGTACATTTTCCCTCTCCAGCAAAATAAATAATTATATATTAAATTTAATACATTTGTTGATTAAAAGCCTCCAGAAACAACAAAGAAAGATTGGTAATGCTTTCTTTTACAGCCCCAATTTCAAGGTTTTAACCAGGTAAATGTGAAGTGCAAAATTTATAAGTCCTATGTAATTCATTTGGTTAACATGATAAGTTCCAAGACAGTTTAATTAAAATATCCTGAAACTCCCATCAGGTTCTAGCTATCAACCGAGTACGACTTTGGATAAAACGATAGTACGTGATCAGACAGCCTAGCTTACACCAAAAAAAATCTAACAGGTTCTAGCTTTTAAGAAAAAGAAAATAGAAAAATAGTTAAGTGGAAAACTATTTAAATAACAAGATGCTAAGTATGAACAAACATAAATGCGCTAAGCCAGTTACAGATTTTTCTCAAAGATAAAAAGTCAGAGAGTGTGTTCTTGAGCCTTACTGGCGCTATCGATGCAATCAGTCTTGCCCAAGAAGAGTTAAATCATGCCACTGCCGTTGAAGTTTGGGAGACCAGAAAGATTCCAAAAATAGGTGAGGCGAGGGGTAAAATAGTCCTGATTTTGAGTACAGATTTTGATTTGGGGCTTCAGGTCAATGTCATGGTGTTGGGTACAGTTGAAAAAGAATATCACATGAAGGAAAATATTCAGAGTACTGCACACATAAGAGGATGCTTACTGACACTGGTGCCAAAGGTGCCATGGAGAAACCACAAGATGTTGCAGGAACTAAAGAAACAGCTTTATTAACATCTCTTGAGCCTTAATGCAAATAAGTAGCCATCTTCTTTAGGGATAATGGTCATGGATTATCCAGGTTGAACACTTATTGAATTAATATTTAACGTTATTTGCCACTTAAGAACTGGCACAGATCAAAGTTCACATACAGGCCTCAATGGACTTGTTGCCCTAAATAAAAGTACTGCAAGACCTGGACCTCCTCAACCTAGTTCTACACTTGGAACACCACCAAAATCTGAGCTTGCTCCTACAACTGCAACATCAAAACCTGACCCTGTTACGACACAAGCAACATCACCAAAATCTGAACCTGTTATTGCACCTGGAAACCACACAAACACCTGAACTTGTTACTGCACCTGGAACAACACCAAAACCTGAACCTGTTATTACACTTAGAACATCACCAAAACCAGAACCTGTTACTACACCTGGAACAACAATAAAACTTGAACCTATTACTACACTGGCAACATCACCAACACCTGAGCTTGTGACTACACATGAAACAACACCAAAACCTGAACCTGTTACTACACCAGCAATATCACCAAAACCAGAAATTGTTACTGCACCTGGAACAACACCAAAACTTGAAACTGTTACTACACTGGCAACATCACCAAAACCTGAACTTGTTACTACACCAGCAACAACACCAAAACCTGAACCTGTTACTACACCTGCAACATCACCAAAGCCTGAACCTGTTACCACAACTGGAACAACACCAAATCCTGAACCAATTACTACACTGGCAACATCAACAAAATCTAAACTTCTTACAATACCTGGAACAACACCAAAACCTGAACTTGTGACTATACCCGGAACAACACCAAAAACTGAACCTATTTCTACACCTGGAACGTCACAAAAACCTGAACCTATTACTACACCTGGAACATCACCAAAACCTGAACCTGTTACTAAACCTGGAACAACACTAAACCCTGTTTCTGTTACTCTACTAGCAACATAATCAAAACCTGAACTTGTTACTACACTTGGAACATCACCAAAACCTGAACCTGTTACTACTCCAGTAACATCACCAAAATCTGAACCTGTAACTACACCTGGAACAACCCCAAAACCTGAACCTGTTACTACAATGGCAACATCACCAAAACCTAAACCTGTTACTACACCTGAAACAACACCTAAACCTGAACCTGTTATTAGACCTGAAACATCACCCAAACCTGAACCTATTTCTACACCAGCAACATCACCAAAACATGAGCCTGTGACAACACCTGGAGCAACACCAAAACCTGAACTTGTTACTACACCAGCAACATCACAAAAACCTGAAACTGTTACTACACCTGGAACAACACCAAAACCTGTTCCTGATGCTACACCGGCAACATCACCAAAACCTGAACTTGTTACTACACTGGCAACATCACTAAAAGGTGAACCTTTTACTACACCTGGAACATCACCAAAGCCTGAACCTTTTACCACACCTGGAACAACACCAAAACCTGAACCTGTTACTACACTGGCAACATCACCAAAAACTAAACCTGTTACTATACCAGCAACAACACCAAAACCTGAACCTGAGACTACACCAGCAACATCACCAAAACCTGAACCTATTTCTGCACCTGGAACATCACCAAAACCTGAACCTGTTACTACACGGGCAACAACACCAAAACCTGAACCTATTACGACACCAGCAACATCACCAAAATCTGAACCTGTCACTACACCTCAAATATCACAAAAACCTGAACCTGTTACTACACCGCCAACATCACAAAAACCTGAACCTATTACCACACCTGGTACATCACCAAAACCTGAACCTGTTATTACACCGGCAACATCACCAAAACCTGAACTTGTTATTACACCAGCAACATCGCCAAATTTTGAACCTTTTACTACTTCAGCAACAACACCAAAACCTGAAACTGTTACTACACCAGCAACATCAAAAAAACCTGAACCTGTTACTACATCAGCAACATCACTAAAACCTGAACCTGTTACCACACCTCAAATATCACCTAAACCCGAACCTATTACTACACCAGCAACATCACCAAAACCTGAACCTGTTACCACACCTCAAATATTACCTAAACCCGAACCTATTACTACACTTGGAACATCACCAAAACCTGAAACTGTTACTACACCTGGAACAACACCAAACCCTGTTTCTGTTACTACACTGGCAACATCACCAAAACCTGAACTTGTTATTACACCTGGAACGTCACCAAAATCTGAACCTGTTACTACATCACCAAAACCTGAACCTGTTATTACACTTAGAACATCACCAAAACCTGAACCTGTTACTACACCTGGAACAACACTAAACCTGAACCTATTGCTATACTTGCAACAACACCAAAATCTGAACCTGTTACAACACCTGGAACATCACCAAAACCTGAACCTGTTACTACATCTGGAATAACACCAAAACCTGAACCTGGTAATACACAGGCAACATTACAAAAACCTGAAGCTGTTACTACACCTGCAACATCGTCAAAACCTGAACCTGTTACTACACCTGGAACACCGCCAAAACCTGAACTTGTTACTACTTTTGGAACATGACCAAAACCTGAACCTGTTACTACACCAGCAACATCACCAAAACCTGAACCTGTTACTACACCTGGAACAACACTAAAACCTGAAATTCTTACTTCACCGGCAACAACACCAAAACCTGAACTTGTTACTACACCCTCAACATCACCAAAATGTGAACCTTTTAGTATACCTGGGATATCACCAAAGTCTGAACCTGTTACCACACCTGGAACAACACCAAAACCTGAACCTGTTACTACACCTGGAACAACACCAAAACCTGAACCTGTTACTACATCTGGAACAACACCAAAACCTGAACCTGTTACTACACCTGGAACAACACCAAAACCTGGTGTTGTACACCGGCAACATCACCAAAACCTGAACGGGCACAGACCGAAGTTCAGACACAGGCCTCAATGGACTCGTTGCCCTAAATGAAAGTACTGCAAGACCTGGACCTCCTCAGTCTGGTCCTACGCCTGGAACACCGCCAAAATCTGAGCCTGCACCTGCATTAGCAACATCACCAAAACCTGAACCTGTTACTACACTGGCAACATCAACATATACTACACTGTATAGTTTATGATAATTCTCTTTATTACATAATTTTATACAATTTACAACATTCTTTCAATGACTAGTAATCATGCTTTAGTGATAAATATTGGTACATTTTCCTTCCCTAGCTAAATGAGTAATTATATATTAAATTTAATACATTTGTTGGTTGAAAGCTTCCAGAAACCACAATCAAAAATTGGTATCGCTTTCTTTTACAGCACCCAAGTTCTAGGTATTAACCAGGTAAATGTGAGGTGCAAACTCCTGAGTTCTAAGTAATTCTTTTGGTTAACATGATATGGTCCAATACAGTTTAATTAAATTACATTGAAGCTCCCATCAGGTTTTGCTATCAACTGGGTACCAATTTGGTTAAACTGATCACCAGCAAACCTAGCATATGTTGTCCTTTGGATGCTGGTATGCTCTCCAACCAGCATGATCATGCTCAGTGACCAGCTAAACGAGCACCATACCAGCATAAACTAGCGTAAACCCTTAAAATCCCAGGCTTATTACAAACTAAGACTTATTATTCAGTAACTACAGGGTCTACAGTGCAAACTGGCTGAGTTACTCTTGGCTTACAGAATTGTGCAATAAAACTTTGAATCCACCGACTGGTCCTTGTCATTCATAGGATTAACAGAATCCATGCTGGTTTGTGCTGTTTTTTCCAGCTGTATGAAGGAGAACAGACTACGTTTGAGGTTTACAGAGCAGAATGTCCTCTGGTGATCGAGCAAGAAGCATAGGTTTTACATAGTTCTAGCAAAGGCGTTGTGTCAAGTCCCAGACCATCTGCATCAGGGGTTTCTACACAAACAACCACAAAATCTTTCACACAACCCAAAAGATTTTATCAATCAGATCATTTTAATGAGATGTCTCTTCTTGTTTGGCAGCTACCGAGTGCTGGATGACGGGATTATGAGCGGAAAACTGCGGACGGAAATTTGGCTCAATGTGATAAGTTTAGATACATATTCACTATCTTTAGTCACTGAGTGGTGGTGTAAATTGTTTGGCTTCAAAGCTTCAGCTTCATCAAGAGCTTTAAGCAAAAACCATCGAGCAGTAGGTACTTGTTTCCAGTTCCCACACATGTGAAGCCTTGCACTGTGTATTCACAGCTGTATTTTCATTATTTTTATTTATGTTCAGTTTTCTTGGTTTTATCAGTCTGACATGTGGTGGCTGCTTCACTTGTAGATGGCCCAGCCTCGGGGTCTTTCCTTTTGAAAGACCCTTTTAACCATTTAATCATGATGGATACGTTCCATGTGACTGAAAAGTTAAACATTTTACAGTGATTTGCACTGAAAATATATGCATAACTAGCTAGCATTTTGCCAGAACAATTATTGAGCTTGATATAAATATGTTGTCTTATTTTTGCAAATAATCAACAATATTTGTTATATTTAAAATTACATTTGGTCAAATGTCTATTGTTACAATTTTTGTATTTACATGCATGTCTATGCTGCTAAAATGTTTTGCCTTTAAAAAAAACTGATGGCCAATGGCCCCCTGGCAGTACCACCACAGCCCACTGGGGGGCGATGCCCACAGTTTGAAAGCCACTGGTCTAGATCACAGGTTACCAACCCTGGTCCTCGAGTGCTCCCTGCAATGCATATTTTAGTGTTTTCCCTGCTCACAACACACCCACTTCAAGTCATGAAGGTAGGGAAGTGTGTACTCCAGGACTGGGGTTGGGAACCAGTGGTCTACATGAGTCAACAGGGAATGTGGACTGGCTGTAGACAAGGAGCTGTGATGTGAGGACTAATGGTAGACCTCCAAATGGTTGATGAGGCTATTAGAATTACAATATATCAGACTTCCTGAGACATCTAAGTAACATATATCTAAAAAATACACCAACATTTGAATAAGCCTTATCTAACAGTACTCACATTTTATATCCAAAACAGTTCCACAAAATTTCCTGCTTACTCACTTTTTCTCTGTAGTCCTATAGGATTTCTCAGTGGGCTCCCTTTTGTTGCATCCTGTGACATAAGTCTCAGCACCTTTGTAGCAGATCTGTGTATTTCATAAGCTTGGTGGTACAAAGATGTGTGAGAGAAAGCTGCAGTTTTTATTCTTTATAACCATAGTGCACCCATTCACTCACCTTAGACCTTTTCATAGTGCCAAAAAAAAACTCCTTTGAAATTTTATGGACTTGTACCTTGAGTATTTCCAACCATAATACATTTTCTCCAATTCAAGCATATTTGTGAGGAAAGGCAGCTACATTTTACTCAGTTCCATTAAGAGCTAAATTGAAACTAAGATCTACATTTTTGTGTTTCATTCTGTTTCATTGGTTCAGTGTCTGCGCTGCTTTGTGATTGTTCATTCCTCTCACTTTGAAGCTTCAATGTTTTATTTTAGACCAAAAGGATCCAAAAAAAGAAGAATAGAGTCTAACAATCGTCAGTTCCTATGCTGACAGATGCTGGAAGTCCTATATTTTTTCTTGTCTGCTTCAGGTAAAAGTTTAAAACAAAGGCTACCCTACTGCATTTTCATAGCAAAGTCTGCTTACATCTGTGTAATAATCTGTTTGAACGTCTAACAAAATACACATGGGAGGTAAATGCAGCAAAACAATAAAGAACAATTTTACCACAAAGAAACTCACTAGTTTATAAACCCATGGGAAAAAACTCAATTCAGTGATGATCTGAATACAGCATTTTTTGTGTACACTACCTTGTTATACATCCTAAATTAAACTTTACTAAAATGTAGGTTATTCTTACATTTAGGCTAATTTCTCTTTCACTTGTTCTATCTTTCAGAATGTTCTAATTGACTGAGTAACGTAATCTGTGACTCCAACCTCCCAAATCTCACATGTGGAAACTACACATTAATTAGCAATGAGTGTCTTCTGCACTGGTTACAGTGGTTGCTAAGCGACAAACGTAGAGCTTCCATAGACAAGTTTGCCAATGGTAGCGCTAACGCTACCATTGCAAGACCATGCTGGCCAAGAGATAAACCAGAAAAGACCACGCTGGCTGACCAGCTTCACCAGCAAAGACGATGCACGTTGACCAGCTAAACCAGCACCAGGCCAGCACTAACCAGCAAACCAGGATTTCATGCTGGTCTAAGCTGATTTTTTTTCAGCAGGTTGACCCAAGCAGGAACCAACAGTTCTAGCTCTAGTTGATACTTGAGAGACAACAAGGACCGTCTTAATAACCATGATTACCAACTTAAGTGTCCTTTTGGTCATTTTATCCAACCGTAATAGTAACTTACAAGTACAAAGTACCTCATTTGTCTAACTACTTTGCTTGCTAGTTAGCTTATTGGCTAGTATGCTACGTGAAAATGATATACCGCACTGTTCTGCATGCACAGTCATAAAAGTGTCTAAATTTACACAAACTCATGACGTAAAGCTTCAGCTTTTCTCTCTCTCTCTCTCTCGAGAGAGAGTGATGATGCAAGTTAGCTATCCCTAAGACGCTCTGCTCTATAGTGCAGGCTTCTCCTTGCCACAATCACTGCAATAAAGAATTTTATTCCAGGCCTGGCTCAATTCTGTTCAACCTCTGTTTAATGCATGGATTTGTAATGCTCTGTATATTGCAGTTCAAGTGATACCCTGTAGCAAACTACAAGGATTAATGGGTAAAACCTCTGGTACATGGACACTGGACAAGTTGTGTTGTCAGAAAATGTGTAATTAACTGTTATATAATTTTATATTGCATGCTGGACCGTTTCTGAACATCTCTCACCTAATCATGTTAGTTTGTAAACATACACAAGTATTTGATCTTTGCTTAGACAATTTTATTTTTGGCACTTTTCAGACCATAGGGGGGCTCCTTACAACTGCCTGAGCCATGGTAACCACTGTGTCTCTCTGAGGACCTCCAGTGGCTTAGAACACTACGCATCTGCTTACAGCTAGAAATGACCCCACATAATGAGTTCAGCTACTTTAACATGCACTCATTGCTGACACAGTTGTTCAAATGCGTGTACACAGCTTGTAATAGCTTGTATAATTTCCATCGAAAAGCTGTGACCAGTGGAATGGGACACTTTGAAGCAGCCACACATGAGCCTAAGGTCACCTTGCCCATTTTAAGCGCCAGCTAGACAGGTATAAAGGCCCCAGCATTGGGCTGCTGATTGATGGATTTCCATCCAATACCTTTAGGATGAGTTTGAATGATCCAGCATCAGCATCCAATGTCAGTACCTGACCTCACTAATGCTCTTATGGCTGAATACAACCAAATCCCCACAGCAATGTTCCAATATCTA